TGCTTTTGAAGCAATTATCAGTAGTAAAGCTACTTGTTTTTACTAGCAGTGTCTGAAACTCTATTCGTGTGTTTTTACTAGCAACATTCTTTCTCTCTAGTTGTACATTCCGCTGCACTACTTTCTGTCTCCCAACGGAGATACCCCTAACAGAAGGATCCTATTTCTTTGTAGTCATCTGGTCATTAGCACTCTCTTTGAAAGCCATTGAGGTCACTTGGGGGTTTCTCTGTACCCTCAGGGTCACCTGAATCAGAGTGCAAATGGGTGTGGAATCTTCTTGCAACTTTTTCACTCCCAGTTGAAAGGCATTCAGCATTCAGTAATGAAGCTGGTGTGGTAGAACAGATTATGATTGCTACAGCTTATAACACCTCTTTTCAAAGGATTTGATACCCAGGAATGTTTTATCTTTTCTTGGTCACAACATAAGATTTCTTGCTAGCTGTATGGTGACAATCTGACACCTGGTTATTAAAATTTGAATTTCCCCCATTGAGTATCATGCTGCTGCTCAGGCCTCTATGAATTCTAACAATGAGGGATTTGTCTTGTTCTCCTAGATTGCAGAGCTAGCCTACAAAAACAAGACAGCAACTTTCTATCCCGAACCAGAAGACAAGGAAGCATTCATCCGCTCCCAGATGTACAACACTGACTATGAAAGCTTTCTGACGGACTCTTATATTTGGCCCGAAAAAGCAATGAAAATACAGACAAGAAAAGTTTAACCAAAGAACACAACACTGGAACAGTGGAGCACTCCAGAAATGGGTTGATTCCCATCTTTTGTTCACTCAGAACTCTGTTTTTAGCAGCACTGTGTTTTAAATCTATGGGTTTGGGGTTACAAATGTTAATGTTCTTTCACTTTTAAGCTGCAATCTAAACATAAAAGCAAATGAAAATAATTTCCTCGTTCTTTGGAAGAGCATCTCCTAGATTCCTGCTAGGCAACACTTACTGCAGGAGGAATGCTCAGTAAAAGGTTATTCTTCATTGAGTATCTGTACAAAATGGTGGTTCTGTTAACTAGTTTTGCTATTAAATTCAGATGTACCAATAGTGTGGTAAAGCATGTATCAGTATGATTATTTAAACCATGGTTGGGGATGTTTAATTTAACAAGGCTACTTTAATTTGTCCTTCACTTGCCAACTTGTCTGTTGGCATACCTTTGTGGAAGATTTCCAGGTATGTTTAATGATGCCCTCTCAATTCAAGACAACTATTTCTATGGCTGTAGTTTGTAGATCAGTGAAAAAGTGTCATTTGGCAAACCTTTTCTGCCATTGATAACTTTTGCATTGAGATCCCCCCCCTCCCGAATTTTCAATGGAATTAAAAAGTTTAAAAATCTTGACCATGAAACAATTCTATTGGCTGTTTTATAGTTTGTTGTTAGCAATAGCAGTTAGACTTATATACTGCTTCATAGGGCTTTCAGCCCTCTCTAAGCGGTTTACAGAGTCAGCATATCGCCCCCACAGTCT